TGGCCATGTTTAGTCGAAAATGCGGTCTTGGGTATTGAACCAGGATCCATTTGGATTTGGTGGAAGCCTTTGGCTAGATCAATGGTTGTGAAATATTGACATTTTCCAAATTTGTCTAATATTTCATCCATGATCGGGATAGGGTATTTATCATTAATAGTTAGTTCATTGAGATTGCGGTAATCTATGACTAACCGGAATTTTTGCTTTCCAGATGCATCGTTTTTCTTTGGAACGATTATTACTGGTGAGCAGTAAGGGGATTTGGATTTACGTATGATATTTTGTTTTATCATATCGCTTATTTGTTTATTTACTTCCTCATCGTATATTTGAGGATATTTGTATGGACGCTTGTAAATTGGGTCCTCATGTTTCGTTAGAATTTTGTGTTTAATTGTACTAGTGAAAGTCAAATTGTCACCTTCATGGTACTGGATATCACGAAATTCATGTAAAACTTTTTTTATTTTTTCTTTTTCTTCTGAGTTTAGGTGCTCTAGCCTAAACTCATTGTTTTCTATTAATTCATTATTAATAGCGAAGTTAAATGGTCTGTCCTCTGTTGAGGGTGGATCAAGGCACTCTTGTGCGGTCATGTCCTCTTCGACCTCTTCGTCATTATATCTAAAACAAAAGTTAAATTCTCCTAAGGTTACGGATCCTTGTGCATAGTCTATTTTTGCTTGACATGCCTCAAGGTATTCTCTCCCAATCAGAACATCATAATGCTCTGAGAAGTCGTGAATATAGAATTTTTGTTTGCTCGGACAAATTTTGCTTGCTCCTAATCGTATACTTTGTTTTAATTCAATAACACCATTTATGGTGTGAACCTTTAATGTTTCGTTGTAAACTGGAAAATTTAAGCGGTTTGTTTTCATTAGATTTATGGTTGAACCTGTGTCGATGACACATTTTAGAACTTCGTCATTCATAATCAATTTTATGAATGGATTTCTTCTGTTTGTTCCGAGGCTTGCTGATGAAAATTTTCGGATGTATCCATTTTCATCTGCCCACTGTTACTATCTCTTTGACGTTTAGTCGGAGGGTTTGGTGCATTCAAGCGTGAATGGGACTGATTTTGGTAGTTTAAGGGATTTTGGTATCTACCTTGACTTAATTTCTGTTGGAACTCGTGGTGAGCTTTCTGATTGTCTTCGGACTTATTATGCTGTTTATTTTGTGCGTGATAACTCTGATTCGTGTTGGAATAGCCACTTGAAATGGTGGTTGGGTTAGCATTTTGCTGATAATTTCCCATGTTCCTACGATTGTTATTTGGATTTCCCTGAACATTATTATTTTTAGGTTTTTCAGTAACGCTATTTTCATATAATCCCTCTCTTTGAGCTACTTGCTTTAGTTTTTGTGTCGACGTAATGTCGTGTCTGGCTAACATCATGAAAAGCCTATCTGGTAATTTTTTTGTAATAACATCTTTGATTGTGTTATTCATAGCATTTGTATAAAGGGTTGTATTGCTAGGTATATTTTCTAGTGCTAACTTATTTAAAATAACAAAAGATTTATTCTCGAGCTCCTCGATGAACTTACGGACGTTTCCTTGGTAATTCGTGTTGTATAAGCGTCGAAGGAGTTCTTCAAATGGTGTCTGCACTTTGTATTCTTCAATCAATGCGTTTCTCAGCTCCTGCCAAGTGTTGGCTGCTGTCCTTTGTGATATTCTCTGAGCATCTCCTGTGACTTGCAATTCGATGGCTCCGTATAAGATGCTATGTTGTCTAACATCTCGGGTTGGATACAGGTGTAGGATGTAATCTATCCTTTTAATGAAGGCGTTTAGTTGATCCGTTGATCCGTCAAAGCTTGGCACCTGTCTAAGTTGTGAAAGGGCCTGGTTGAGGTGTTGTTCTGATAATTCCATTGTCATCTTGGTGTAATACACTTTTTTTTGAATAGTTTTGAGTTTGTAGGTTTGAACTTTATTGTTCTTTGATTTTGCACTTTTATTTTAAGTTAAAGTTTGTGATGGATTATTGTGTAAATGTTTTTTTTTTTTTTTGTGTGTGTGTCTTAAAAAGACTCAGTAATAACGTATTGCAGGGATCAAACGATATGCAAAGCCAGTCGTTATTAACTGTAGTAGCTTTATTGCCCAAAGGGTCAATATTATTAAGCTACTAATGACCCGAAGGTTCTTGTGCGGATACGTATTCGAGAAAATTTTTATTACACTCCGACAACACTTTCGGTCGCGATTGTGCGTTAGATCTGGGAATTAATTATCCTTTAGCGATCTTTAATTTTTCCCGACGTATCCTACCGGCTGCGCCAATTAAGTTTTACACGTTAGGTTACTATAAAAAAATATATTTCAATTTATTATTTTCACTTAACGGCTACTTTTGTTGAGTACATTCAGATTTGCTTCCCGAATATGAACTGATTTATCTAACTGTTGCGGTCGCTTAGCAAACTTCGCTTTGAGAGAGTTTGAGTCAAAATTGAGTGAAGTTTGAGCTGCGTCAGCAATTATGCGTGGGATAGTACTCTGATGGGAACATTGACAGTGGCGTGATATTTAGGGTGAATTGTTTATGTCTACCAAAGGGGGACAGTTTGATCTTGACCAATGTCGATGTTATCACCAGGCTCTTTGTTTACAATATTAGAAATGTTTATAATTGTGCTTATGCTTATGTGCTAAGTTATGTTAAAGGGTGGGTGCGACTATGGATATGTCACTATATATATATAGTATATATAGTATATTTCAGGTAATTTAACAGTGTTAGTTGTTATTTAGCAATTTATAAGTTTATTGATGCCTTTTTCCATTTTACTCATTTAGTAATTTACTGATAGATAGATAGACCGACTACTAGATCAACTCCATTTGGCACATGCCACAATTTGAAACATGCTAATCCAATTTTAAGTAGCAACCGATTGAATATTGATGCCAATAATTTCTAGCTTTGTTCAATTAGAACCTAATCAAATGCGATCAGTAAAACGCATTATACGTAATATATTAATGATCCAATCCAATATGACGAGTGGGACACTTGAAAAACATCTCTTGCCATGTCTGGTTGGCTCAGGTTTTTGACCTATTTGGCGTTGTCAACCCTCTCATTGGAGGCCGTAGCGATACAGCAGCGAAATTTTCGCTTCATTATCAGCGACTTTTACTTCAAGCCTACCGTTGCAGGTTTTTTCGAAAGTATAAACTGGAAGCTACACAATTATAGCTCTATTAGTGCATTTCTGATACTTGAACGCAACGTTGATGAGTTGGAAATGGAAACATCCCTAGACATGCTGCGGCCCAACAAACAATTGATGCGCCTTTACCACATACGCTTGGATGCTTGTCAGTTTCTGACGACCATTCACAAGAATCGTATCTTCAATCTATTCGCCAAGAGCGTCAACAGAGGCAGCAATGGTTTATTGAAATGTCCATTAATAGCGGTAAGTATTTACTTCAATTGTCTTTTTATATATTTGTGCGCTAGCGGATATTACTCGGCTTTACTGGGCCGTTTTTTCTTTAAGTTCGGTCATCAAAAAATATTGGAAAAGCGTGAAATACGTCTTAAGACGATTTTAAAAAGATCTTCGGAAATGATCGTCTAATTTTAGATTCATAATTCCAGCAAAGAACGGTTGACTTTGTGAAAAGTGTGCAACACATTCCCCGTTCAAATGTGTTTCACGGTTTTCCGAAACTTTTTAACACTTGCGGTTGGAATCTCTAGAAACCACGTTTTAGCGTGCACTTACATCTATGATAATTTTATTTTAATTAACTAACTTGTTACAATTAACTTTTCATTTTGTCTGTCAGGATCCGTATTTAAATTATATTCATTTTATTTACTTGCAGCATTTAAACTACACTGTCTCCAATATGCATGTGGATGAGACCGATTTTCCCCAATACGTGCCCGAATGTCAGTTTAAGACTCTAACAAAATTTTATACACAAAAGAAAATGGTCTTACGACTGGTCATGGACGGTAGGGTCGAGTATAAAAATGAAAAATTATTTAAAATGCGCGATCCTCTAAGATTTATTTGAGGGTATTTTTTTTTATAATAATGTTAACAAGTAAGAGGTTCTACTCGGGAGCTCGCGACTAGGGGCTACCCTGAACCCTCTTATTCCAACACCAAATGCAGTTGGCGTTAAGTGTTTCCTTGGCAGGGTTTGTACACGCAAGAAACCGCACTACTTGCCTCCGTCTACACTCAACAGCCACAGCAGCAAAAAAAATAAAAATAAAAATAATTTCCTCAGCAAAATAAAATGAAAGATACGTTTTTAATATATAATATTCTACAAGCAACACTTCATGTTTGGTGACTCTAGCTCTTATTATTTACCTAATTTGCTCAAAAAACAGGATGTCGATATCGATTTTTATCGATTGCTTCAAAACGGAGTAAGTTATCGATTATCGGAAACAAACTCGATCTGCGCATGGACTAGGAGGACCTACAGCTAAGAGCTAGAGACTTGAAGCTCAGACATACGGACAGACAGACAGACAGACAGACAGGCAGGCAGACAGACAGACAGACAGATAGACGGACATGGCTAGATCGACTTGGCTGTTAATGCTTCCTTCTGCCTGTTATATACATTTGCATTTTGCACAAAAACAGTATACCCTTCTTACCTATTTTTAATGGGTTCAGGGTATCTTGGTTTCCCTTTGAAATTCGACGAATTATTAGAAGATATCTTGAAGAATTTAAAGAAAATTTTCAGCCCTTAGGCTTTATAGTCTACGCCTAGGGTAAAAACACAAACATAATACAGCGTTTTGCAGTATAATAATCAGTACAATCTCACATTAATATATTTTTAGCTTGGGTATAATAAGCAGCTCATTATATGAGATTGTGGGTAATACTAGACCAATCTGTGTTAAGCGAACATTTTGAGTTAAGGTTCTGTCATGGCGGGTTGGTTCTGGTTTTGTGTCTGTTCAGCTTTGCAATTGCGTCCAATAGTCAATGCAATGACGCCACAGCGCAATTTTCTTTTCATTTTCAACGATTTGGATATCCATCCTTTGACCAAGGATCTCTTTGAAGAGTTTAAATGTAAAGTGACAAATTCACGGTATATCAACTGCAATATGATTGTGCGGCGCAACATTGAGCAGTTGGAAGTGGAGACAACCCTGGACATGCTTAAGCCCAACAATCGGTCAATGCGGTTTTATCAAGTACATTTGGATGTCTGTCAATTTTTTTCCACTCTGCACAAGAACCGTATGTTTAATGTAGTCGCCAAGAGCCTGTCTAATACCATAAATGGTAGCCTAAAATGTCCGATAGTAGCGGTAAGTGATCCATCAAATTGTTTGAAAATTGTCAGTGGCTTTTTTCTTACCATTTTTGTAGAACTTCAACTATACACTAAATAACTATCATCTGAAGGAAACCGATTTTCCGAACTATGTGCCCGAGTGTCAATTCCAAACCTGGATGAAATTCTATACAAACAAAAAGTTGATTCTACGATTGGGCTCCAGCGGTAGGGTTCAGTATAAGAAGTAGTAATTATGCATCAAATGTCAGGTCTCAAAAAAGTTGTTGCTCCTTATAGTATTTCAAAGTTTTCTAAACATAATTTATATATATTTGTGTATAAAAGGGTAAAACTGGGTTAATAATTAAGAATGCAAGAAAAAAAAGCGAAAGTTGTGAAATTTTGAGTTGCAAAATTATTTAATTACAAGCTATTCATTTTACGATGAAGCGTAACCTTCTTATGCAGCTAACCAAATGACTGTGTTAGTTAGACAACTTAGCGATATAAATGTTGAGGATCGATCATTTGGTATAAATATAGTATTTAATAATAACATAGTTTACTGATGATCAAAGCTAATTAACATTCGAAGTTCGGCATTCATCATGACAGGTTCGGTTTATCTGATATTGTTATTTTCAATTGTGGACGCGCATACAAAAACAGACTTTAGATTTTATATGGAGAAGTTGGTTTTACAAAATTTTGATTCGGAATTCATAGAAATATTAAATAGCCGTCTTGTACAATTGAGCAATCGCAGCTGAACAATAGCCACTGTGAATTTGATAAAGTCTATTAGACAAAAGCAACCCCTCTTAAATGTGCGTTTTGAGATGTGCAGTTTCTTGGAAAAAACTGACAACACTTATCTGTTCAATATATTTATTAATATTTAGTAAAAGTTGTTCTATAAGGTGTGGAAATTTCGAAAATACCCTATAAACATTATAATTTAGTACATTAAAAAACAGAGACAATATTTAGTAAAAGAGTATTAAGGTAATCATTCGTTATAACCTGTTGGTTCTGGCAATGTTTGTGCCTACTTCTCTAGAAGGAACAAAGCAAATTTCGATTTGTCTTTAATAAGTTTTTAATTAAATATTTTCACAATGCTATGAAATATGATTCTAATATGATTCTACGCCGCAATATCGATCAGTCGGAATTTACAACCGAATTTGATACCTTGAAACCCAACAATTAGACGATGCGAATATTTCATGCACGCATGGTTTTTTCTTTGTTTTCATGTGCCAGAGTGTAATATTAGAATATTAACTAAATGCTGTACAAATTCTAAATTGACTGTTTAAGCTTTCAGTCGTGGTAGGGTTATCTATAAGAATAAGGACCTTGACTAGAAATAAACATCATCTTTTTGCTTTATCAATTTCCCAGTCTTAAATGAAATCTCACATTGTATTCAAAGAAACATTCAGTCCATAATTGATTTCAAAATATCGTGAAATACATTCACATAACGAGCTCTACTAAGCTCCTCAAATAATGGCAAAAAGAAAAATATTTTATTTTAGATCTGATAAATTTTCACGGGTATTTGATTTTTGGTATTGCGTACATAACTCTTCAATTATGTTATTAACACAAATAAATCAGATTGTTGTGAACAAAATTGTTCAAAATATAGCAATATTGATTTGAAGTAATTGCCTCAGCGCTCATTCAGAACTAAGCATTTACCATGTCCAGTCATATTTATCTGTATCTGTGGGTGCTGCTCATTGCGATGGTCCATGCCAAGCAAAATTTTCATTTAATACTGGACAGCCCTATCGTAGAAAACTTGGCTCCAGATCTGGTTGATGAGATTGAGTTTCGTGTTAGTCAACTGAATAATCGCAGCTATGTCAGCACCAATTTGAGGCTTAAACGTATTTTAAAACATATCGATCTAAAATGGGTTTTGGATTTGACAAAAATGAACAATCAAACTATGCGGCTATTCAATATACGCGTCAATGGTTGTGAATTTCTCAGAGGCACAAATAAGAGCAGATTTCTAAATGTGTTCTTTAAAATTTTACGAAAATACGGCTCCCAAAATTTAGGGTGTCCATTTCAACCGGTGAGTGTTATATGTATGTTATTAGACTCATTTTATTCTGTATCCATATTCCACCCAATATTCATAATATTTCCCTCTCGACAGAATTTAAACTACAGCCTGACTAATTGGTCTATAGATGAAACAGATATTCCTTTCTATGTGCCCGAATGTGTCTTGTATAGCCCCGTGGATATGTATGCAAAACAACAAAAAATAATAAGCATAAAAATAAAAGGCAAAATAGTCCATATTTAGCTCATACTGATCGATGATAAAACAATTAAATAATTGCAATAACTGAGCCAAATTGTTTTATTCACTGTGAGCATGATTTATTTCATGTTGAGCCGCGCTTCAACCATGTTCGTGTATCTGTGGATAATTCTCGTGAGTGCGGTTGTTGCCGCAGAGAAATGCAAGTTCCGATTCATTTTTGATACAGTGAACGTTAAGCACTGGGCACCAGAACTTGTTGAGGAGCTGCACTATTCGATGATTCAAGTTAATAATCGCAGCTATATCAGTGGTAACTTTATACTCAAACGTAATATTAGTAAAATGGATGTCAGCTCGTGTATGGACTTCTGGAATAGCCATAATAAAAAGGTGCGCCTGTTCAACTTGCACACGGATACGTGCTCCTTCTTAACAATGGTTCATAAGAACCCGATCATGAGCACCTTCTTAAAGAGCTTGAAAAAGCATACTACTGCGGACTTCCAATGTCCATTTAAGGCGGTGAGTATTCGTAATCATGATCTAGTAAATTAAATTGCCGACAAGCTAATTTGTGTTCACTTTCTGAGATTCATTCAGGTTGTAGTTCAAGCCCAAGAATATAAACGAAACAATTCGCTATATAACTTTATATATGTACGAATTTTATCAATATTTTTTTGGGGAATATAATTTGGTTTGGAATTTGCACCCAATCTTGTTCGACTCCATCTAAACTATTTTTTTTTTTTGCAGAAACTAAATTATACGCTTAGTAATTGGTATCTGGACGAACAGGATTTTCCCAGTTATGTGCCCGAAGGCAGTTTTCAGACCATCACGGAATATTTTATAGAAAAGAAAAGGATATTTCGCATATTGACCATTGGCAAAGTAGTCTATTGAGCGATAATATGAGGAATATAAATATTTAAATTAAACATTATAAAATACAAATAACTTGAATAAAGTTCATCTTGCTCATTTTTTAGTCTGCGCATATTTAAAATTTTGCTATTAGTTCCAATCGATTTAAGCATTTAACTAAGTATAAACATTGCGCAATTTAGATTGCACTCCTGACTGAGCCTATTAATGATGATTATGACTATATTTAAAAATAATATTAAAATATTATATCAATAGGTTTAAGATGCAATTGACCACAAAACCAAAAACAGGAAAAAGACGACTTGTGAAATCTTTCAATCTTAAAATAAACAAAAGTGTTAAAGAGAATAGATTTTTTTTTGTGATTTTGTTAAGAACATTTGTTTATCTTGCAATGTGACAAAGCGCAATATGGCAATACCACAATTAATATTTAACTCGTATAAAGTTTTAAATTACTTTTGGGACATGTGCATATATTTTTGCTAAGTAATCCATTAAAAATAGATTATTATTCACACTTAAAGCATTTTAACACCGAGGTAAGCCAATAAGTAATAACTGAAACATTAAACAGTTCATTGCAAACGATTAAAATGAACGCTTACATTTTTCCAACTGCCTTGCTATTCTGTTCTGTGGTGTTCACAGAGTCTGCGAAGGTAAGTTATTTGTTGTTTTTCTTTTTTTTTGTCTGGGATATATTTTAAGAAATATAAAATATTTACATGCACATAACTTATAATTAAAATGTACATTCTTTTCACAGACGAAAATAGTAGCTATATTCCACAAAGTGTTGTGTGAGAATCAGGAACCGAAAATGATAGCGATATTTAATTGCCATGTTAATCTCACGACAAGTAACGTTTCTGGTCTTTATGTGGAGTTCAAACTAGCCCAAGACGTGACCAATGTGAACGGGTTATATATTTTGGCAATTGAACATGGCAACAAATTTATTAACTACACCGCACAAGAGATGAACTACTGTGAGGCACTGCATGTAATTCATGGCCAATACTTGACCCAGATGGTGGCTGTTGGACTTCGTCGCGTTTCCAATTTTCCCCTGGACTGCCCATTCAAGAAGGTTCTTACATGCTTATCCTATAATTGTTTTTTTTTTTCATGCTAGTATCATGTTTACTTTCAGGAACTATTATATTATGTAAATGGGTTTACAATCGACCCGAAGGTTATACCAGTATATATGCCCCGAATACACTTCAAAATGACTATGACTTTTGTCTCTAATAAGCACCAATTGGGCAGCTTAACAACATTGGGTCAAGTAGACCGAAAGTAAGAGCTATGAAAATTTAAACTTTCACTTAATCTTTGTATATATAACATTGTTTTTCCACACTGACTGTTGATCAACGCACAGTTCAAACCTGAAGAGCTAGGAATCTGACACTTTTACTGTACGTACCATATAAAATAAAGGTCCACACTAAATTGGGATATTGGGAAATTCCAACCGCAGAATTATTGCAAACGCCATCCAATCCACTCAATTTCAAAGATATCTGTTTATGTTCGTTAGAAATCTATTTCACACTATCCAACCTTAAAGCGTTAGATTTTGGCCACATCCAAGGTTTTTACATGTTTCGCAATATCAACACAGAGGGAAAATGCGGGTCAAAGATCTTATGATCTAAGTAAGCGGAAAACACTTAATCGAAATTGTGGTTCTTAATTCGATCAACTTTAAGCTTATAATCAAATATATACTTATATTAAATTAATATTAAAATACAGGATTCAAGACATAAAAAGTCTAAACACGAAGCAAACCTGCATACATCAACCATAATACAATAAATATATCGATCTACAAATTAACCCCTTTATTTCCTTTTATAAAATTCGTAATCGCAATGTGTTAGTACCCAAATATATTAATTTTAAATAAATAAATGTTTGCTGTTTGATCTGATCTTTGCAAATATTCGTAAAGAAATATAAATATAACGATGACTGATATATCTGCAATATGGCAACGCTCTCATATGAAAATATGGCAACAATATATTAACAGAAGCTTAAAGTATTTGTAGATAAGAACCCGAAATTTAATATTTTAATGTTTGTATTAAAAATCGATTAATGTTCGCACCAAAACCGTTTAATTATTGAAGTTATTCAGTAAATGATAGTTGAAGCATTATTAGTTGAGTACAAGCGTTTACCATGAACGTCAACATTTTGAAAGCGGCTTTGCTATTTGGTTTTATTTTGATCATATTGGCTGCAAAGGTATACGGCTTGAATCTAGTAAAATTTAGCAAAAATATATATGCATAATTCGAGAAATATAATTTTTTTAAATAATTTTTAATAATAACAATACATTGGAAATGTATAATTTTTGACAGCCTAAGATGATAGGCGAATTCTCCAAAGTGTTGTGTGAGATTCAGGATCCGAAAATAATGGAAACATTTAAATGTCACATAAATCAAACGTCTAAAAAGCTTTCTAGCATCTATACGGAGTTCAAACTACTTCAAGACTTAACTCATGTGACCGGGTTCTACAGTTTGGCAATTAAACATGGTAACAAATTTATTAACTACACGGCACAAGAGATGAACTACTGTGAGGCACTGCACATGGTTCATAAACAACACTTGACCCAGATGGTGGCTGTTGGACTGCGTCGCGTTTCCAATTTTCCCCTGGACTGCCCATTCAAGAAGGTTCTTTCATGCTTATCCTATAAATGCTTTCCTTTTTGCTAGTATCTTATTTGCTTGCAGGATAATTTGTACTACGTGAACGGGTTTTCAATCGACGAAAAGTTTATACCAGCTTATATGCCCGAATTTAGTTTCAAAGCGGATGGAACATTTGCCTTTAATAAGCGCCTATATGCAAGAACAACAATATTTGGGTCTGTCGAACGAAAGTGAGGAATATATTCATTCAATATAAAAATCAATCACCTATTTCCTTCTATGACACGTGCAATTGAAAGTAATGTTACTTAAAAATAAGTACATTTTTGCTGTTGTACATTTCAAATCCGGAAATTTTTGTGAATAAATGTATATGGCAACGATTAGATACTAAAATGTGTAAAATCCAATTGGAAGATCGCATTAACAAATGCTTAGAATATTTCTACAAACGGAATAATAGAAAACATTTTATTTGGTCTGATGAACTAACCCAAAAATATTTTATATCAAACGATCGCTTGATGCAATTTAAAAATGTAATATATAAAGAAATAGATTTAATACATTTCTAGGAAACCCAAGTTCATATTCGAATTTACTGAGAGTTCAGAATCATTCAAAGGAAGGCTGCTTCTCAACAGATCTTCCGAGTGGAAATTATTTCGTAGTCTTATATTATAATTATTCCTTTAAGTATTCCAAAAAAAAGCTTTGTCAGCTATCAGGCAACGCTCGCAGTTTTAACAGTATAAATAGATAAATTATATTCGTATAATCTAACAAAAATGGAGCTACATACGATTAATAAATGTTGGAATATGCTATTTTTCAGAAATAATCTAGTTTTAAAAGTATTTAAAATCGACAATTTTTAGTTTTAATTATAAAAGAAGAAAATACCATTTCAAAGAGGACTGAGCTATAAAACGCTTTGACAACGGTTTTGTCATTCAGTTGCTGAGTACTTTTATTTTTTATTTTTATTTATTTATAAATATTTTTCTATATAAACTCGATTCCATCCCGTGTGATTCATGTTATTATCGCATGTCTGCAATATTGTTCGTACTCGCTGTTGACATTTGCGAACTGTTTGCTTCGGCTCGTTCTCTTTCTCTCTCTAGAAAGGGCATGCAAGCATCGTTGTTAACACTTTTTCTTCGGAGTTTTTTTTTTAAAATTCTGTTATGGAAAGCTGAAAAACTTGATTACAGGTGCGCTAATTTAGTTGCACGCGAAAAACACACGCGTAATCAAAAACGGTTTGCTGAAGTGCCAACGCCCCGACCCCCACCGCTACGCGAACCCGCAGCGCTGCCCCGCCGCCAGCTAGCCCCACGAGTTTCAGACTGTGAGTCCTTAACCCGTGCGTCAGGTTTTTAAATTGGAGTTCATGGCATGCCATGTTTTTTGCTTGCTCGCCCCTGGGCGCACAACAATTTAATTTATATGTTGTGCGAATGTGCGGATGTGTGCGTGTGTGTGTGTGTGTGTTTGTATTTATTTTATATGCCATGGCAGCGCGCAAAAAAGTATGCAATAAATTTTTAATTTAAATCAAGCCATCCGCCCACCCCATGCAAATCGTGGCAAGTTATTAACATATGAGTGCAACACTCACCTCTCTCCGCTGTCCCTGCCGATTGCTACTTGCGTCAGACTTGGGGGTCGGTCTATTTTAACTGGTTGACACTGAACATGGCGCCGTCTTCCTTAGAATCTCAAGTGGTTTGAAAGACTGAAAGAAAACATTGTCTTTATGCATAAGCCATAAATGTTTCAAATATACACTTTATACCATTTTTCATTTTAAAATATATATTTATGTATTTTGACTATTGTATTTATTGCTTAAGATAATGTAACAGCTTGATGATAATTTGAATGTATCGAAAACTAATCGATAGTCATTTTGATAAAAACAGGAGCTCATTGGAATTCTGTTTCATATATTTTTTGAGACATTTTCATCTCTTTCTTTTCTAAATCAACTAAATAGTTTTAAAACGAGAGCTTAATATATTTTAAATCAATTTATTTGTATTTTTAGCACGTTAATTTCGCATATCCATAATAACCCTAAAAGACACGACAATTTCTGAAGCAGGCCTTGAGCTTGTTGGCATGGCTATGAAGTTCTCACTGCCTCTTGTCCAACCTCATCTCCAGTTCAGCCTCCTGGCAGAGCTGTTCGACCAGCTTGCCGGACTGCTCCATTTCCAGGCGCAGCTTGGTTAGACTGACCTGCATGCGGGCTATGCGCAAATCGCCCGCACGCAGTTTCAACTGCTGCGTGGTCGTGAAATCCGTTGCCTGCTGTCGGGGTAATGCATTATAGCTGCCATATCTGGGCCTGGACCTGGGGCTGATGTTGAGGATGGGAATGGGATTAGAGCGGGGGCTGTGTCTTCTGTGCAGCTTCTTGTCTGTCGTCTCGGGCATTATAAACCTCTTTTAAAGTGCCCAACTTGTTGCAACTATTAATTTGGCTAGAACGTTAGAGCGAGATGGAGAAAGAGACAGCAAGAGCGAGAGAGAGTGCTTTTTTGTTCTATACAAAGCGTATCGAATTGTTTTAAAATGTTTGTTTAACACATGACACATCCAACAGCGTCTGCTGCGTATGGCAAAGAGAAGGTGGTGGCTGGTGGTGTGGGGGCTGCAAGCGGGTGCATGTGTGCACTAAAGCAAACCACTGAGCTTTAATTACAATTAACCACAAATGATGTAGCGACTGCGGTCAAGTCGACGGCTTTGGCCTTGCGGTCAAGCCGCGGGCAGCAACAAAGCAACAACAATTTATTTTTGCTACCACGCTGACAATATGCATGACTATCACATACACTGCACTCGTATGTAATTGAAATATTTTAATTGAATATCCCAAATGGAAGCAGCAACTATACAATATGGTAAGCCAATGATAATAAGCTCGTAAATTCTGATAACAAACTGATATGGCTATATTAACACAGTTTCATTTTGTTTAGTACATTTCATGACAAAAAGTTGAATACCCACTGCAAGGGTATAAAAAGTTCAAATCATGAAATTGATTTTCACATTTTTAAAACCAAGCCTCATATGTCTTTATTTTTAGCATAGCTTTTTATATTTTGATGATTTGCATCCACATAAAATACACGATAAGCTATATCATATAGAGCTTCTCTATATCTATTCGACTCTCTCTTATCTCTATGTAATTTTCCCTCTCTATATATATATTGTAATAGTATGATTTTCTTCGTTGATTTAACTTATGTTCGGGTTGCCTTTTTATTTTTAACAACACGTCTTCTTACTGCTAGTACTGTAGAGAGACTGCCTTCCACTTCTTCTCTGCAGCCGCTTTTCTTTATCGATATTTACTTATCGTACTGTTATAATTAACATAGATAGTGACACTATAATACCCTGGCTAGGGTTACCAATGATGCTCTTATCCTATTACAACTCGGCCATCCTGACAAAGAGAGCTCCCGATCTCTGTCTTTTATATGTGTATCTATCTTTATAACTAATGCTTATTGCCTATTTTCGCATCCAATGCTTAAAGTTTTGGCTATTCCAGATACCAACGTACGGGTTGCGAGATAATTGAAAGCCTTCTACATCCTTTAACAAGTATCTATCATTTTTTAAAATCTTTTCTATACTATAAGGCCCTTTATATCTTGGTATTAACTTTTTTGAAACTCCTGGTGTGCTATCAAAATTTTTTACCATGACATAGTCACCTATTTTATATTCTACTGATACTTTCTTCTTTTTATTAATCCGCTCTTCATTTCTGATTTGAGCTTCTTTTTGATATATTTCTCCACTCTTTCTTATATTTTCTAAATTTCTTTTATCACACGTGTTCACCTGTGTAAACTCTTCTAATTTTTCTTTTAATTCATCAACAACTTTTCCTTTCTGTTGTAATCCGAATAACATTTCGCTTGGAAATTTCTTTATGCTTTTGTGTTGTGTGTTGTTTATTGCATATTCAACATTTTCTATAATAACATCCCAATGTAAACCATTTTCTGGCTCCGCCATTTTTGCCATCATCGGACCCAAGTCTCTATTCAACCTTTCCACCTGACCATTTGCTTGCGGACAACCCGTTGCTATTTTAATATGCTTTACTCCCTCATTTTTTAAAAATTCATCAAACTCTTTTGCAGTAAAACAACTCCCTCTGTCCGATACAATGAACTTAGGTCTACTATACGCTCTGAAATAATCTTTTAATGCCTTAATCGCTTCTTTCGTACTTGTTGTCTTTGCTGTATATAGTCTAACAAATTTTGAAAATCCGTCAACCACCGCCAATATATATTTATTAGCCCTTCCTGCATTAATTGGTCCATAATGGTCTATATGGATCATCTCCCACGGTTTGTTTCCTTTCGGTATGCTATGTAATAGTCCTTCACTCTTACCCGTCTTGGGGGCGAAGGCAATGCATTTTAAACAATTCCCTATATGCTTTATTGCTTTTTCCTTAATATATGGGAACCAGTAACTCTTTCCAATGGCATCGATCATCTTATCTCTCCCAGCATGTCCCAACTCATCATGATATTTGTAAAGTACATGTTCTTCCATATCCTTTGGTACATAAAAAACTAATCTGCCATCATTTGTTTTTCTGTAAATGACCCCATTTCTCATTTCGAATAGCTTGTGCTCTTCTTTTTCTAACATCTTTCTAATATCTACCAGTTTGTCATCTTTGCTTTGGCAAATAACTAAATTGTCCTCAAAACTATTGGATTCAATAACTAAAATGTCCTCATAACATCTGCTTAACGCATCCACATGTTGCATTTGCTTGCCCGATCTATGCACTAACTCAAAATCGTAATTTTGTAGTTCTAACGCCCATCTAGCAATTCTCGGATTTAAATCTATTTTGTTAAGCGTTAAAGTTAAAGAGTTGCAATCTGTCATTATTTTAAATCGTTTTCCCTGCAGATATATACGAAATCTGCGTAATGCGTAAATGATGGCTAGCGTTTCTAACTCAAAACTATGATATTTAGACTCTACTTCGGTTGTTCTTTTAGAAAAATAAAAAATCGGGTGTAATTTCCTATCTTCTTTTTTTTGAAATAAAACAGCCCCAAATCCCACTGCGCTGGCATCACAATGTAGTTCTATTTCTTCTTTGTAATTATATATTGATAGTACTGGCGCCTCTAACAATTTATCTTTTAACATATTAAAACACTTAAACTCCTCTTCTCCAAACTTGAATTTCTTATCTTTTTTCAATAAATCATATAAGGGTTTAGCTAATATAGAAAAGTTTAAAATGAACCTCCTGAAGTAGGAGCATAACCCTAGGAAACTTTGTACTCCCTGAATTTTGTTTGGTATTGGAAAGGATTTAACCGCTTCTAACCCTTTTTCATCAGCCCTAACGCCTTTACTATCCACCACAAATCCTAAATATTTAACGCTGCTTTTAAAAAATTCACACTTATCTAATTTCAACTCTAATTTGTTTTGCACCAGTCTTATAAACACTTCCTTTAAGGTCTCCATGTGTTCCTTTATGTTTGTACTTGCTATCATAATATCATCCATGTAAACAATTACCTTATTATCTTTTATCATATCACAAAATATGTTATTAACAAATCTTTGAAATACATGTGGCGCAGTTTTTAAACCCATGGGCATCCTAAGAAATTCATATTGTCCTAAAGGGGTAACAAATGAAGTGTATTTAATAGATTGCTCATTAACAAAAACATGAAAATACCCGTTTTTTAGATCCAACTTTGAAAATACTGTTTTTCCGCATAGTCTGTCTAATAAATCGTCGATCAATGGTAGCGGGTAGTTGTCTCTACATATAATTTTGTTCAGTCTTCTAAAATCAATACATAACCTCATGTCTCCAGTTTTTTTCTTCACTAGTACTATAGGTGATGCATACTCTGAACAACTTGGCCTAATGATTCCATCTTTTAAATAGTCGTCTAATAATTCTTGCAACTTTTCTTTTTCCATATAAGATAACCGCCTAGGTGTACAATTAAATACTTTGTCGTTTTCTAATCTTATGCTTAACTCATGTCTTAATTTTGGCTGATTTGGCCTTTTCGCTTTTACATAAGTATTTTCAAATAAATTTTCAAATTCACACTTTGTGCTGTAATCAATATCTTCACTTAAAATATATATATTTTCTCTTTTGTTAGAATCTTCCCAACTTATTGTTAAGATATCCTTCTCAAAATTCTCTTCTAACACTCCCATGATTTCGCTATTCACTGGCGCTTCATTAACATGATTATTAATTTTAACTGCACTGTTTCCTATATCTTCTATAATCACTTTTTCAATCCCGGTTTGATTATAGATAATTTCATCACTAACAACTTCTTCACTATCAGGTTCGAGCTTAAGCTCTCCATAACTAACTATCTCATCACTAACAGTTTCGATCCCAATCACTTCATTTCTAACTATTTCACCACTAATTATTTTATTTCTAACTATCTCATCACTACCAACTTTATCACCAAGCGTTTCCGGACTAACAATTTTCTCACTAACTAATTCATCACTACCAGTTTCATTACTGACTATTTCCTTATTAACGATTTTATCATTTAACAATATAGTTTCATTTTGCTCGTGTTTGATATCTTCATCGTCCACTTTTTTTTGTTTTTCTTTGTAGCTTGTAGCTATGATATCATTTTTACCATTATTCTGGTGATCAACTTTATGCCCGTTCACAATTTTTAATGTTCTTAAATCAATATTTAAACCAAAAGAATCCATAAAATCTCTACCAAGCACAGCGTCATACCTCATAGACTCATTTGCCACAATTATAACATTAAAATAAACATTTATTAACTTTTTCTTCATAAAACATAAAATTTTTCCAAAATTTTTCAATTTACTTTCATTTAAACCTACATACGAATTTGCATCTGGCATACGCTTTACTTTTAATGGCACAAACTTTTCCTTTAAAAATGAAATAGGGCTGCCAGAGTCTATAAGGCATTCTGCAATTATTGATTTGTTAAATGAGTTACTAAAATGAATTCTTAAGTATCTTACATATTTGTTTTCCATATCATACTTTTTATTTGGACATCCTGCTATTAAATGATCCTTTGAGCCGCACGCATAGCAAGATCCTGCCTCCCGTTTGGGCTTTAAACAATCTTTGGCCCAATGGCCCTTAACATTGCAATTGTAGCAACGTTGTTGTTTGTCCGCCTGTGCTTCCTGTGCAGTTTGTTTCACTACATGGTTTCGTACCCGTTTAATTGGCAACTTTATAGCTGCAAACGCACGTAAAATTTGAGCCGGATTGGTAAAGCAATGCATACTAGCTTGAGTGCGCAAGTTTTCGCAAGGTATGCCTCGAATAATACCCTCCATTAACTCCTCTACATCAATGTTGATGTCCTGTGCCAATATGCTTTTTTCGCTAAAATATGTGGCGAACACCTCATCTGGTTTCCAAACCCGATCCTCGAACTTCTGTCGTAGTTCCGACTTCGAAAATCCTCCCCCGAAGGCCAAAACCAATTGATTTAGCATCTCGTCAATCGGAGCAATGATGCGCATAGGGTCTGCATGCAACCACTTCAAAGCACCGCCTTTCAATTTGCTTATACAAAGCAAGTGCTGTTGCATATCATTTAGTCTGTAGATCTTGGCCACATTGAAGAATTGCATTACCCATTTACGCACCTCACTTTCTCCAGTAAATTCTAATAAAATTTCCTTGGCTAACATCATCGCTCCAGTTTGGATGCAATTATTTAAGTTGCCTCCGACAGCGTTGCCACTTTCGTCGATCCT